CAGACGTCCAGAAAATGTAGCCCCCCCCCCCCCTGACGCGTTTTGTGCGATGCACATCATCATAGGGTGCTGGGCTTACATGATACAGAATACATTTTGGCCTAAATTTATAATGAAATTTGATTTTTAACATTTTTTTTACTGGACATGTTTAATAGCAAAAAGTCAAAAATATTGTTTTTTTTTTTTTTCAAAATTGTCGCCCTTTTTTTTTTTTTAATGCAAAAAAATAGGAAACACACAGGCGATCAAATACCACCAAAAAAAAGCTCTATTTGTGGGAAAAAAAGGACATAAATTTATTATTATTTTTTGTATTTGTTACAGGTACTTATATAGTGCCGTCAATTTACACAGCGCTTTACATATATATATTGTACATTCACATCAGTCCCTAACCCTCAAGGGGTGTACAATCTAAGGTCCGTAACTTACATTCATACATACACACACTAGGGCTAATTTGAACAGGAGCCAATTAATCTACCAGCATGTCTTTGGAGTGTGAGAGGAAACCGGAGTACCCGGAGGAACCCCACGCAGGCACAAGGAGAACATGCAGACTCCAGGTAGGTGGTGCCGTGGTTGGGATTCAAACCTATGACCCCTAGTACTGCCAGGCAGAAGAGCTATCCATTTAGCCAAATTTCATTTGGTTGCTGTGTTGCATGACAGCGCAATTCTCAGCTAAAATAACGCAGCGCCGTATCGCAAAAAATGGCCTGGTCAGGAAGGGGGATAAATCTTCTGGAGGGCAAGTGGTTAAAGCACAACTCAGGGAAACAATAACATTGCAGTGCGGCTGTGCCCACCACTTGCAAGGGTTATTTGCTAATTTACATCTGGGAACACAGAAAAGCAGATTTTTACTTACTGTATGCTCTGCTCCTGCATGCTGCTAGGCCAGTCCCCGCACATCTTCTCCTCTATGCTCCACCAGTCTAAGGCTGGCCATACATTATGCAATTTTCTTGAGATTTTTGGTTTAGATTTACCAAAAACCATATAATACGGGGTCAAACCTAACACTTTCAATTGTATCCAATCAGGCGGGCCCTTGCGCTACATAGTTGAAGGTAAATTGAAAGGAAATTGGGCAGAAAACTGTAAGAAAAATTGTATAATGTATGGCCAGCCTAAGTTCCTGACATCATCAAGACCAGCGCAGGGTCAATAGTCAAACATAACGTTTGGTTTACCCCAGATGAGTAGAAGTGGTTGAAAAACTGAAATTCTGTTAACGAGCAAAAAAAAAAAAAAACAAACAAAACCCACAAACAAGGGTTATCTAGATATTGAGATATTGAATATTTTCTTTTACAACAGCAACTATATACTCTGCTCAGGGTTGGATGTACTGCCTGTGCAGCCAGTGTTACTTGAAAGGGGCCCAAAAGAGCAGAGTCCATCAAGGTGGACGCAGCATGATTGGTCATGGGCCTGTCTTTTATCTTTTGCATTATTTCTTCAATGTATACAATTACCAATTGACATGTGTAATGCTACTTAGTTATGTAACGCTGACCATTCATAGGAAGCACAAACAATTGCCTGTATGCCACAGTGGGCACTGTATATACAATGTAAACAAGGATGCACACCTGATTGTGGATACTTTCCAATTCCCTCCCACTCATGATAACTCACTGGCATTTTGCTGGTGGTGGGGAAGGGGGACCAAATATGTTTACAAGCTCCTGATTCTTAATACATATTTTGAATACTTATAGGAACACTGGCAACTCCCATCCGCTGAGGTTTTTACGTTACACTCAGATCTGTCACCATATCCACAACTCTCAGATCCAACACCGTATCCACAACTCTCAGATCTGTCACCATATCCACAACTCTCAGATCCAACACCGTATCCACAACTCTCAGATCCAACACCGTATCCACAACTCTCAGATCCATCACCGTATCCACAACTCTCAGATCCATCACCGTATCCACAACTCTCAGATCCATCACCGTATCCACAACTCTCAGATCCATCACCGTATCCACAACTCTCAGATCCATCACCGTATCCACAACTCTCAGATCCATCACCGTATCCACAACTCTCAGATCCATCACCGTATCCACAACTCTCAGATCCATCACCGTATCCACAACACTCAGATCCATCACCGTATCCACAACACTCAGATCCATCACCGTATCCACAACACTCAGATCCATCACCGTATCCACAACACTCAGATCCATCACCGTATCCACAACACTCAGATCCATCACCGTATCCACAACACTCAGATCCATCACCGTATCCACACACACTCAGATCCATCACCGTATCCACAACACTCAGATCCATCACCGTATCCACAACACTCAGATCCATCACCGTATCCACAACACTCAGATCCATCACCGTATCCACAACACTCAGATCCATCACCGTATCCACAACACTCAGATCCATCACCGTATCCACAACTCGCAGATCCATCACCGTATCCACAACTCGCAGATCCATCACCGTATCCACAACACTCAGATCCATCACCGTATCCACAACACTCAGATCCATCACCGTATCCACAACTCGCAGATCCATCACCGTATCCACAACTCGCAGATCCATCACCGTATCCACAACACTCAGATCCATCACCGTATCCACAACACTCAGATCCATCACCGTATCCACAACACTCAGATCCATCACCGTATCCACAACACTCAGATCCATCACCGTATCCACAACACTCAGATCCATCACCGTATCCACAACACTCAGATCCATCACCGTATCCACAACACTCAGATCCATCACCGTATCCACAACACTCAGATCCATCACCGTATCCACAACACTCAGATCCATCACCGTATCCACAACACTCAGATCCATCACCGTATCCACAACACTCAGATCCATCACCGTATCCACAACACTCAGATCCATCACCGTATCCACAACACTCAGATCCATCACCGTATCCACAACACTCAGATCCATCACCGTATCCACAACACTCAGATCCATCACCGTATCCACAACACTCAGATCCATCACCGTATCCACAACACTCAGATCCATCACCGTATCCACAACACTCAGATCCATCACCGTATCCACAACACTCAGATCCATCACCGTATCCACAACACTCAGATCCATCACCGTATCCACAACACTCAGATCCATCACCGTATCCACAACTCGCAGATCCATCACCGTATCCACAACACTCAGATCCATCACCGTATCCACAACACTCAGATCCATCACCATATCCACACAACTCGCAGATTCATCACCATATCCACAACTCTCAGATCCATCACCATATCCACAACTCTCAGATCCATCACCATATCCACAACCTCCTTTAATAACTCTTAAGATAATGCTGCTAAATATGTACCACATCCCACATTAAACATCTAACAGAACTGAAAAAAAAAAATGAAGAGGTCTTTACTGGTACCAGCGATGACACAAATGTTAAAATTACAATATTTTATTTACAACAGCGCTTAATTACAATAAACAAAAATAAATAATTTATTAAAAATTCCATCTATGCACAAATTGTTTTCATATAAAATAAACTTACTATAGTTAATTTCATTTTAAAACATTTTAATTTACCAATATATAAATAAGCGACAAGACATTCTCTCTTGACAATATGATTTTATTTAATACATTAGAGCCCATTTGATACAATTTGTTTTATATATTGCTACTTTTTTGTATCAACTGTGTTTTGTTTGATATTCATTAGAGCTGCTATCAGATTAGTCTATCTAGCAGATTTACTCACAAACGTTTTATTCACATTAATATACTGTTTTTTTTAGATATATTGTTTTAATGTCCTAATCGCAAAGATGGACATGTATATACAGTATATATATATATATATATATATATTTATTTTCTATTTTTTTTTTTTTTATTACTTTGTGGTGAATTTATCACATATTCTTTTAAAAACAGAAATATTTTTTAATAAATTGATTGAGAATTTATTGCGCTCTAGCTATTGTCTTTTTGCATGTGCCATGGACACCCCAGATCTGAACCTACCAAAAGCTGTGGATCCTATGCTCATGTTCTGTGTCTCTCTGTTTGGTCTCATCAGTGATTTGGCCTCAAGTTCTTGCCTGTGTTATGAGCTGGTTACTGCGGATCTCCTGCCACGCCTTTACTGCTATTTCACTTTAAAGCTATGGACATTTGAACTTTATAATCAGCAGTTTATTGTCAGTGCTTGGATAGTAATTTATTTTGCCACATGATATTCTTTTGTGTCTAACCCTTTCAGGGGTAACTTCTCCATGTATTATCTATGTCTAGGTTTATAAGAAAAATTACAGGCATATTAGCTGACTCAGAATGCAAGGGCCACAAAAATGGGGAGGATTATATCCTATCCATGTTTGAGAAGTTGGTACAGGAGGAATTTCAGTCTGAAGACATAACTCCAAACCTGTTGATACCATAGTGGTTCTTATTGAAGCAGTCTTCCTAGACTTGGATCTTCCTGCTGCAGCTACATCTAAAAGTTACCAGCTTGGGTTCCCTTAACCTCCCTGGCGGTATGATTATTTCAGATTTTTGGTGCTGAAAGCGGTTCCATTATTTTGCATGGCCTGTCATTTTTAGGAATAACTCACTGAAATCTGTCCGAACAAGAGTCTAGTAAACATTCCGGATATGATAAAACTTGAAACACGAAATCATAAATTATAATTTAATAAATAATCATAAAAATAGTAATATAATATTAATACATTCAATTCAATAATATAATTAAACAAAAAACACTGAAATTTGAAATATAGTGCCAAGTTCGCACATTGCTGAGCAAAGTTGCAGAATCGTTTTCAGTGTCTGATGATGAATTTCCCCACGAATCATTATCACTCAATTCTGCAAGTAGTTCTAATTTACTATTGCTGTTCTCTAGCTGGTCTAAAAACGCTTTTGACCTAAAGGGACGCTTTTTGGACGCCATGGACTTTTCTCAGTTTCCAGGCAGAAAGAACAGTCAAAATGCAGACAGGGCACAGGACAAAGCAGTAGGGACAAAATGTATGTAAAATGCTTTGAAACTGCAATGTTTTTCTATGTAATAATCATTTTAGAAAAAAATGACATTTTTTAAAACTTTCAAATTTGCCGCCGGTTCCGGTGCCCGTACGTCCCGATGTCACAGAGACCGGAACACGGAAGCCGGTGCTGGCATCGGCCGGAGGAGAGATGGCCGGGGACGCTGCAGGGGACACATCATGAGAGCGAAGGACAAGGTAAGCACTGCAGGGAATCCCTGAGCAACATCGCATGGTAAGCCCGAGTGTAGCTCGGGGTTACCGCTTGTGGTACTGAAACTTTACCCCGAGCTACACTCAGGAATACCGCCAGGGAGGTTAAAGGTCCGTAGCCTGTTAGGGCTTTTCCAGTACATTCACTTTTGCAACCTGTTTTGGATAGTGATTACTCTAATTCCTATTGAGGAGGAGTTCTTAAAAAGTGAGGCATCCATGTAGTGGACTGTAATGCCTATGAAATATGTTGGCCATGGACCCTTTGTTTCTTGGGTAATTTTTACAATAAAGCATTGTTGCCCAAATGCCAGGAGCATGAGAGGTGACTGATGTGTCATTTCTCTAAGCCAAAGGAACAGAGTCACAAGATATTCTGCTGAGAGCAAGATAAAAACTTGTTTATAGAACAAAACATGTTTTTGACATCTAGTAACCTCACATTAGGAGATAAAAACTTGTTTGAAGACATCTACTTGCTTGAGAAGTTAGATGAGAAGAAATTTGGGGTAGATGAGAAGAATTTTAGGGTAGATAAGAAGCAAAAATGTGACTTTTCAGATAACGATGTGGGATCAATATGGTGGCTAAGCGTGACTCTGTTATCCCCGTGGGACCTTTCTGCTACCTCCTCCTGTGGTGGGTGTGGCACCCGCCAACTATTGGGCAGCTTCCAGAAAAATGGTTTAAAAGCCGGAGGTCTAAACTAGATCAATCGATGGAAGCCATTCCATGCATGAGGGGACACTGGGATTTTTGCAAAGGCTATATGGGCTCATCGATTGGTCACGCTTACGGCTTCCCCATGACCCCCTGGGCAGTATGGTTCCGATGGGATTTGTTCCTCCCAACTTCTAACATAGTTTTGGTAATGTATTAATTCTATGCAGTGATGCTGTCAAATGATGTGTCTAATTTGTGCTGTACTGCTCACACTCTTACTAGTGTGTGTTATTATGCAGATTGTGATAACTATAAGATATATCCTCCTGTGTGTCGTGTGATAAATAAAAGTGGAGGTTTTGACAGTGCAAGAATATTGCAGTTGGATTCTGTTGTTTCTTGGAGTGCCAGGTGAATGCTATGATGTGCTAAGGCAGGTGTTCATTTTGTAGATGGTCTTTTACATGCGTAGAATATGTAATCATTTAAATGCTGATTAAAAGGTACCTGCATGACTATATGTTGATTGTGCGCGTGTATATGACTTGCTTTTGGTTATTGCACCCAGCATTTGCCGTTACATGGAGCCACCAATATTCTGTCATAGCAAGTCTCTGATTGTCCCTATACAGAACATCACAGTGTTTAAAGATCATGTGGATAAATTGCTGGAAGTCTATCCTACATCTTGCCATGTTCATCTGCCAGACTTAAGCTGTCTGAACTAATGATATGTCTAGGGATCCTGGATCTATCCTAATGGATCCTTTTGTCTTTCAACATATGAAGCACATGCCTGTTACTCTATTCTACTATAATGATGAGCTGGTGGAGTGGGGAAACATCTGCTGGCCAGTTGGTCCAAGGATATTTCAGATGTTTTGGGTCAAAATGTTATATCCAGATGCTACTTGAATTTCCATCACAGTATCAGGATGACAGAACTCACAGATGATGTTAGCAGGCATGTAGCAGAGCTATGGACAGAAGCAGGCAGCTGCATCAGCAAGGTGTGGCAAGTAGGCATTCGACCATGGCATGGAGTAGAATCGAATGCAGAGGCAAAGTTACAGATCAAGCCTAGATCAGCGAGTACCAGGCAATGAAGTACCAAATCAGGAGCTGAATCAAGGTCAGGAATGGGTAGAACAGAAGTACAGAGAACCAGATATCGTATGTACTCTCCAGCGCCTCAGGATATGCACAGCCAAAAGGGAAGCCAAGGGAACCAGGACAGCGACAACCAAAGGAAATGCATCTGCATCAGAGGCTGGTCAGTAGCTCTGAGGAAAGGGATTCATCCCCGAAATGCGTCAGATATTTGACCGCACTGACAGTTAAAACACCGTGCTTGCCATTGTGGCCATCGTCATTATGCAAATGCTTTTTAGATACATGCTTCATCTGTGAGTATGTTTTTACTTTTCATACCTTTCAATAAACCTTGGATAATGCACTAGGTGTGTGCGCCACCTGTTTTTTCTCTAACTAGAAGTACAGAGAAGGATTCAAATCATGTCAGGAAGAAGCCAGGTTGGTAACAGGATTCACATGCAGAACACAAGTCAGAGAGCAAGGACCAAGCTGGACACCAGTGAGCTCTGACACTAAGTAGAACATCCCTTAAATAGGCTGTCTGATGCCAATGCTGACTCTAGGCGTGTATGCATGTCTGCGCACACGCTGTGGTCCACGTGGACAACCACATGCATTTTTGCACATGCACGCCAGCTTGGCTGGCTAATAACAATTTAATGATAGCTTCCCTTCATCTGTGGAACGTTTTGGCCTCTGTGGACATTATGGTTGCCTCTTTTTATGTACCTATCTTTCCCGTGCATCAACACTAGTTGCATTCTGCTATGGGAGCACAACGTTACTGGTTTGTTGCCTTTGGTCTGTCCACTGCACCTCAGGTCTTTACCAGGCTAGCTCAGTCCTTGCTCTGCTTTGCTCTTGGGGAAACATCATAGTGACATCTCTGGACAAGCTTCTTTCTGAGGGATCATTCAGCACAGAATCTATCATCTAATGTCCAATTGACTGGCTGGACCCTACAGAGGTTCAGGTGGATCCTAAATCTGCAGAAGTCAATGCTGGAACTGTCTCATCGCTTAGGGTATATGGACCTGGTCTTGTATGTGGCCCTTTTCAAGGACTCATGCTGGACTCTACAGCCCAGGAGTCAACCCACTCTTCTTTGCATGGTGGTTCTGGGCGTAAAGGGTTAGTTTGCCTTTACCAAAAACCTGCCTGTGCAGGTAAGGGGTGCCTGTATATAAGCACAAACCGGTCAGCCTTGACCAAAGTTGAATAATGCCCTTGCTCTAGTTGTATGCAATTTCCGTACTTCCAAAAAAGTCAGAAAGGTCTGACTGAAAAACTCCCAGAGGTGCGGTCCCCCTGCCCTACCTGTTGCTAGGAAGTTGCTAAGACACTCCCAGCCAATTCAAACCTCTTTGCATGTGCTCCCCCCTGTTCTGATAGCTCTGCACTCAGTGATGCAGCAACAGAAGAGATTGTGGCCAACACATGTGCAGGGGTTTGAGAGCTCGCTCCTGTGATGGTGGGGGAAAGCAGTAACAACTTAGCAACATGTCTTAGCAACGTCCCAACAAGGCAGGACAGGGGGTGCCATCTCTGGGAGTTTTTGACCAGGTTTCAGGAGGTATGTAAAAGGCCTACACCTATAGCAGGGACATAATTTTAGTTTGGTCAAACCTGCACAGTTTGTTCTCATCTATAGGCACCAATTACCACCATAGGCAGTTTTTTTTTTGGCAAAGATGAACTAAGAGGGGTTCACACTGGTGCGATTTCCTGCAATTTTAGGTGCACTCCCATTGGCTTCCATTAGATTGTGTGTTTTTATGAAAGTGCACCAAAGTCCTGCATGCTGCATCTTTAATGCACTTTCAGAAAATGCACAGTCTAATAGAAGTCTATAGGAGTGCACCTAAAACGGGGTAAACCACACATACAGTCGAGCTATGGCCAAACCGCAGCACATCGTTTAAAGTGGAACTAAAGAGATGGTATCCTTACCTTTCTTCCAAGGGTCTCCGTCCCCCACCTGTGCCAGCATCTTCTTCTGTTTGCCAGTTTTCAGCCATCTTCATTGGCGGTCACGGGATGACGTCACTCCTGTGCATGTGCAGAGCAAATCATCAAACACAGGGATTCAAATAAAAAAATCGTAAAGCGAGCGCTTACTCAAATATGTATAGTGTAAAGCCGCTAGCATAAAGGAAAACCTCTAAAATCCTTCAACATAAATCATAATCAAAAATGCAGCGCTAAAATATTAAATATTCAAGTGAAATGATAGTGACATATGCGCAAAGGTATGCACTAATAAATGATAAAATAGTGATGTCTTGATGAAGACGATAGATATTCATAAAGTGACAACAGCATCAAATCAACATATTTTATCCTATGTAATGATTTATAATAACATGAAAGTCCATAGATTATTTCAAAGGTGCGTCAATTTTCCCAAATAAGGAAGATATCGAACATTCACTTTAAACCTCCATTGCATAATCATAAGGTGCACGTGACTTCCGTGAGGAGAAAAAAGGGGTGTGCTTGCACTCACCAGACGTAAAATGATTTTACGCATGTAGTATAAGGGACACTAGTGGTCATCTGGAACCTGCTATGGAAGTGGCACTCCGATGGCGCTCGGTATACCCAGGGGAAGTATCCAGACCTGTCAGTGGACCCTCTTCGATGGTAGGGACTGTTCGCAGGCTATACTTACAACCGGCAACAGGTGAGTTCAGCAGTAATGGAAAATCCACCTTAAGTAGCTCAAAATAAGCCACCAGGACAAGAAGCAATCCGCATCTTCCTCTCAGCTCCGCCCAGAGCCGACTGACCACTGTCCTGTCTGCACTGCTTTACACTTGCCACAGCTGGTGTGTGGGCGTGGCTTATGTGTTGACTCCTCCCACTCACCAGTCTGCGTCCTCCTTTCAGCTCCGCCCAGAGCCGACTCATTAAATTACGTATCATCATTACATACAATAAAATATGTTGATTTGATGCTGTTGTCAATTTATGAATATCTATTGTCTTCTTCATCAAGACATCACTATTTTAATCACTTATTTGCGCATTTGTCACTATCATTTCACTTGAATCTGTAATATTTTAGCGCTGTATTTTTTATTATGAGACACAGGGATTGTCCTGGCACTGGAAGCTGAGCTGCTCAGTTTACATGCTGGAGATCGTTTGAGGAGGCAGGTAGGTGCACATTATTGCAGAAAGGACACCGCATGTCTCTCCGGCAATAATAGCCCACCTGCTCATAGTCTGTCTTTAACCACTAGCCTACAGGGCACTTATACCCCCTTCCTGCCCAGGCCAATTTCCAGCTCTCAGCACTGTCACAC